AAGTTATAATCTGACGACTTCCAGAAGGTTACAATTTGAAGACTTTCACATAGATTGATGAATGTTACAATCTGATGACCTTCACAACAACTGATAAAAGCTCTAATCAACAGCCTTCACAATCAACATCGGGAGTTACAATCTGATGACTCTCATATTCTCAAGGAGCTAAGACGAAGATTACAAGACAATGATCTTTGTAACGCTATGACAAAAGAGATTACTTGTTGATAATCTCTTCGAAGCAAAACGCGGAACTCATCACCGCGCTCTAAGACCAAAACGCAGAGGTCATCCCTGTGCATCAACACTAAAACGCGGAGGTCCTCCCCGTGTGTCAACATTAAAATGCTGGGGTCAGACCTGCGTTGTAACATCAAAACGCTGGAGTCGAACATGTGTTGCAACATCAAAACGCTAGGGTCAGACCCGCGTTTTTGTGTTTGACTGGTTCAAATAGAACCTTAACGGTTTCAAAACCGTAGCTCCACTTAATGGGGACGGTTACACCCCATTATAGAGAGATTTTAGGGAGAATTACACCCCTTAAATCCGTGAACAGTTCCAAAATCGTTTCCCATGATTGGAGGGCGGTTACACCCCACTTAGGAGTGATTTAAGGGGGCAGTTACACCCCCTTAATCCTCTATAAATACTAAAAAATAATTCAGTTCAGGGTTCGGTCGGTTGGAACTTCTTGGCTCGGATTGACCTTGGAGCTTGGGAGCAAAGAGAGGATCTTTGGAGCATTCTCAGATCTGGAGATCGACCACCAGAGCCTTCATCCTTGGTTTATTAACCGATTTTTGGTTCAAATCAACTCTTTACAGAGTTCTTCTAAACTCGTTCAGAGTTCTAAAACTTACCACGCAAGTTCTCCACAACGTCAAATCGTGAGGAGAAGACATCGTTCTAGTGAATCAAAACGTCGGATCGTCAACGGAGAGCAAACTCGACACGATCATTCGAGGGAGGCACTCCATCACCACCGTGAAGAACCCAGTTTTAAAAAAAGGGGAGAATCAAATTCATTCTCCTCTCTTTTGTAATCAGTAAATCCAAATTGTAATCGATTTTGAGAGAATACAAATCAATTTTCTTTCACTATCTTTCTACTACAAATTTTCCACAAATAATGATTGAGCTTAAAGTACTAACACACATAATATAAACCTAAACTAGATGTTACCCAAGCTTGATCTTGATCTTCATTGTAGCTCAACTTGGTACACTTGCGGAAGAAGCTTGAATTTGTATCTTTAACTTGAATGTACATTGCTTCACTCCACTATTCTGCTAACCTCCATTGGATATGATCGTGAAAGCTTGATTCTATCCATCCTCTAACTTATTGTTTGTCTAGAATAGATACGAACCACAAATACTAGACAAACAACATTAGATGTAAATTGTGTGTAAATCATTATCAAAACAAAAGGACCCAACATATGTCAATTATAAGCCAATTTCGGTTGTGTCCCTACCACGATACTTATTACAATAATCTACCCACATAGCACTTGCAATTTCATCCCTCTTCTCTTTCCATTCATTTCTTGAATCTCTTTCTTTTCTTTATGTTATATTTTGAGTAAAGTCGACAATATTGTCATCTTCACACTCATTAGCTATTTCTCCATCATGATCATCAATAGTAATGTCCTCATTCAATAAGTCATCACCCGGCTCGACTATAGCAATATAGTTATGAAGTATAGTACAAGCCAAAACTACATCAGCTTGGGTTGGAAAAGGATAATGTGGCTTTGCAGTGAGGATTTTGAAACGATTATTCAATAACCCAAAAGTTGATTCAATTTTAGACCTTAGCGATGAATGTCTTAAATTGAATAACTCTCTTCTGTTATTTATTAGCCTACCCCTATGCTCATTTAAATGGTAACATACACCACGATAAGGGGAGATGAAGCCAGGTAAGGTTGTGTACCCCGCATCACACAAATAATATTTACCTACAATTATAAACAACACATTATAATAAATAAATATATTTTTTATAAATTATAATTGAATATTTATTTTCGTGATTAATGATTAATTACCATCGTAGACTCTCAGTCCATGAGGTTGAGGTCTTGAAAGTGCATCTTGTAGTACTCTATAATTATTTACGGATCCCTCCCATCCAGCTAGAATGTACAAAAATAACTTTTTTGGAGTACATGCGGATAGAACATTTTGAGTTACATCTTTACGGCCTCTAAAGCAGGCAACAAGTCTAGTTGGAAGCATGACGTCAATGTGGGTTCTATCTATCATGCCAATGCAATCCTATATAACGTACGAAAATGATTATTATTTCATAGAATAACAAAGTTCATTTGTTCAATGCGAGTTATGTGAATGAGTTCATTACCTTGAAATAAGGATAGTACAAAGGATTGTTTGCAATCTAGCGCCAATTCCTTTGGTGCTTGCTTTAGGAACCACCCCCTTATACGACCAACTGCTTCTAGGCATTTGTTAAAATATCTAGAAATTATTTCTCTTGATCTTATAAAATATGATCTTACTATTCTATTTTTTGTTTTATGTCCCTAATATATTAAGGAACATGATTAATTGTTCTTCTACTTTAACATCATGTGAATCCTGTAGTAGGCGCATAACTCTCATTATTCTAACAAGATTTTTAAATACATGCAGCCTCATTCTAACATAATCTCTATAACTTTGACTATATCTAGAAAATACACGGTATATGTGGGCATTTTTAGACTCTATCTTTTGTTTTTTCCACTCCCTAAGGTGATAAGTGATAGATTTTCTTCTAGAACACATTCTCATTACACATGTCAACACAGTCACGATGGCGGACATAGTAGCATTACTCGATATCCTCATTAACATTTCGTCATCAATATTATCCATCTACAATGATTGAAATATATATTCTTAAGCATATGCAAATGCGTAAACTCAAATCAATTTCTAAAACTTAGTTGATATAAAGTTTAGTCAAATTATATAAGTAAATCAATATTTGTTATTATCAACCATGATATCATATTGAACATGAAATCATAGTGTACCAATATTTTGAGCTAGCAGCCTACGTATATACAAAAGTCATCATCAAGTAAAGATACATATGTAAAAAAATAAATAAAAAACAAAAATTAAAGATGATCTGACCATAGAACAAAAAGGAGTCAGTACGTAACTATCAATCATAGTTAATAAGACAAAGCTTTGATTCATTCAATTATACAGTTTAATAAACAATAATAAAAAAAATGAAGGAAAGCAGATAATATTAAAGTGTAAACTGTTAGTTGGAAGCATTGGATAAACTAGTCCCATTGTAAAAGCTTTCCACAGGGCACATAACTTATGTTAAAGATTTGTGATAATTTTAACAACACACATTATAGCTCAACAAACAAAGCAAATCAAGATCTTCAGATTTTACCAAGATCACGATATAGAATTTCTTTCAAGAGGAACATAGCCTGTATATTTTTCATCAATTCCATATACTTACTCCATGTACAATACTATGAAATCACACAAAATAAAATTACTCAAGGAAACAAAAAAAAAACTTTATCAAGTCACGATTGAAACAATCCTCAACCAAAAAATTACAAAGTAGAGAAAGGTTAATCATTTGCTTTGATATGGAGCAGATCTGAAGGCCCAGAGGTGAAATTTTATAGTATGAAACTCTAATCAAGAAATCAAGCCTTCAGATATGAAGAAGAGAACACAGAGGAAGTCTTGACTACACCCAACTCAGAGAAGGTTGCCTCCAAGAACAATGGTGACGTCCATCATGAAAACCCCCAAAATCAAAATATCCGCTTCTTTATAAACCCCAAAAAATCATAAATTTCTTTTTGAAATCAATAGCTAGAGTTCATCAAGGAGGTAATCAAGAGGAAGAGACAACTTTACACCTTTTTTACGGCTGCTTTGAGCAGATTTTACTCAAAGTTTTTGATGAAACGACGGGAAGTGGAGGAGGGAAATGGAAAGAAGGAGGGAACGAGAAGATATGTGATGAGTGTAATGGGGATGATATTCCAACTTTTGTTACGTGAAGAGAAAAGAGGAGAGAGAGGAAACGCTGAACTGGACAACCAGTCAGAAATTGTGGCCCATTTCTGAGCTAAAAGGGAGGATTTGGGCTGTCCAAAAAAGTTACTGTTTTCTCTGTTTTTAGAAAGATTTTCTTTAAAAAAATTGAAACAAACCCAAGTTTTGGAATCCTATAATGGCCCAAAACATACTTTTTCTTCCAAAAAAGCTAGTTTCCTAAAATTTTGACCCAAACAAATAGCCCCTAAACTTCAAGTACAAGAGCAGAAAAATACAAAAGCCTATCCGCATCTTGGATCAATGTGGCAAGCACATTTCCCCTCTCTCTAATAGAAAAATGCATGTATGAGATTTTTGTGTGGTTAAAGGCTGGTTGAGGAAGGTTTGATGAACTTTACTTATTGTTGTTATGTGGTTCATATAGCTTATATAAAGTAACATAATTTTTAATGAGAACATATCCAATCCACAAAGGATCATCGATAAGATTTATTTTCAACACTCAGCTCTGAATCAAATTCAAGACCGTGCGAGTCATATTGGACCCCCTCTCCTCCAACCAATCCAGATTGCCCACGGTGGGTCATCATCGATAATACGTGGGCCACCATCAATAATATTTGAGAGAGTTTTTATACATGGTCCACATGGCAAAATGACTCGAAAATCAACAACTTTCTTTTGTTTCTTGAAATATTATCTAAGACATAATGATGCATATGTCTTATTTCGTGTATCAATATATTCTGCTATGTTCGTATTACCGTTATATTGTAACTATTTTGCTCCCGAGGTAAATCTTTACCAATTAAGAAGAAACTTTAAAATTCCAGTTTACCACAAATAAACCCTGATTAAATATCCTTAAACTAAGCCCAACCTTTTTAAGCCCATTACCATTATCACGGACCAAACACATGCTTTCTCTAAATTTTCTTCATAAAAACTCCACCGACTCTTGACCTGAGGCCCGAAGTCCTCTTTTGAGATGCGCATCCTCAATTTACAAACCCCATTTCTTCGCGCTAGTCAAATTCTAACCCGAAAGCTACATCTTCTAGCATCATCTAATCAATTACCCACTTGCTATAAAGCCCCCCAAATCCTCACTCCTCTCTCAAACTCAAGATCTCTCAAGGTCGCAGCATCAGCGGAAATGGTGAAGGCTATCAGAGTCCACGAGCTTGGTGGCCCTGAGGTAAAATTTTCAGAAATTTTTAGGTTCTATTGATATATGGGAAGATATTCTCAGCTGGGTCAATCGCAAATTTGCTGATTTTTTTTATGAAATTCAAGGTTTTGAAGTGGGAGGATGTGGAGATAGGGGAGCCCAAGGAGGGAGAGATTAGAGTGAAGAACAAAGCTATTGGTGTTAATTTCATCGATGTTTATTTCAGGCAAGGAGTGTATCAAGCTGAGGTCCCCTTTACTCCTGGTAAAATTTTCTGTTTAATGGTGTTTGTTATGATCATGGACGTAGCTTCTCTTCATTATGATAGTTATTTTTGAAATGGATACATTGTTAGGGATTTTAAGGAGATTAATCTGTGAAATTAAACACTAAACAAATAACGACACCAATGAAAATACCATAAACAAAACAAGTAAACACCAAGATTTAACGTGGTTCGGCAAATCATGCCTACGTCCAAGGGACAATCCAGAGAGAAATATTTCACTATGAATCAAGAGTACAATTCCTCCAAGTTACACCTGAACTTGAGGATTAAATCATAAGAGAAATACAGTGTTATCTTTAGGGCATCAAAATCCTAAAACCCGTCTCACCAAAATTCTCCAATACCTGCGAAGAAACCAACATCGTATCTTCGACGGCGTCGTCGTTCTGAAGACAACGGCTTTTGAGTCACTGCAATCGGATAACCGAGCTATCCAGAATCTGAATTTTTTTCCTATCTCTCTCTCCTTTTTTCTCATGATACTGTAGCACACACTGTAGCACCAAAAAATACAGGTTTTTCATATATAGAATTCTCAAATCTATTCATATTTCAAATAGATCATCCAAATCCACTTCTAGATAGAGTTTTAATTTATGTGAACCTTATGTGGGCCTTATCTTGGGTTGGACCCACAACAATCTTCCCCTCCTGCCCATCGAGGGAGTATGCCAATCTGTAACTCCTCAATGGGAGTTCATGTCTACCGATCGCCGACACAACTCAGTCTTCTCTCTAGAAACGGTATTCGTTAAAAAATCTGCTGGATTTTTATGTGTGAATCTTTTGTAGCTTCAGTCCTCTTTCTCAACGGCTTCTCTAAGCCAATGATATCTCACATCAATGTGTTTCGTTCTGGAGTGGAATGTGAATTTTTTGCTCAAATCAAGAGCACTTTGACTATCAATGAAGATTTGATAATTGTCCTGTTACAAGCCTAATTCCTGTAGAAATCTTCTCAACCAAATCATCTCCTTATCGGCTTCTACAACTGTAATATATTCCGCATCTGTTATAGATAAAGCAACACATTTTTACAACCTGGACTGACAAGATACTGCTCCTTTGTAAAATTGAACAACCAACCTGAAGTAGACTTCCTGTAATCGAGATCGTCTGTCATATACACATCTGTAAAATCATATAATACTGCATTCGATCTCCAAAACTCAAACACAATCTGAAACTACCTTTCAAATATTTTAAGATCCACTTTACACATTCCTAATGAACTTGTCCTAAATTAGAAAGAAATCTGCTCACAACGTCAACTGCATGAGTTATATCTGGCCGAGTGCAAATCATGACATACATCAAACTCTTTATAGCTGAAGAGTAAGGAATATTCTCCATCTCACTCTGTTCCTCATCTGTAGTCGAGCAAAACTTTTTGCTAAGCTTCAAATGACCTGTAAGAGAAGTATTGACTGATTTGACATCTTTTATGTTAAATCTATCAAGTAGCCAGTCAACATATTTCTCCTGTGATAACCATAACTTCCTGATTTTTCTGTCATGAGCAACATCCATACCAAAAATTCGTTATGTCGAGCCCAAATCCTTCATGTCAAAAGATTTAAATAACTCATTCTTCTGTCCATCGATTATCTGATTATCCTGACCAACAATCAACATGTCGTCCACATAGAGCAAATATACACACGAATCTGCAACTGTCCTCTGGTAGTCATGACTCAACATGAAAGAATCAAATTTCTTATACCACTTCTTGGGTGTCTGCTTCAAACCACAGAGGCTCTTCTTTAACCTGCAAACCATGTGTTCTTTTTTTCTTCACTTCAAAACCCTCCGGCTGCTCCATGTAGATCTCCTCCAAATCACCATGAAGGAATATAGTCTTCACATCAAGCTGCTAAATCTCGAGGTCTAAACTAGCTGTTAACTCCAAGATAACTTTAATGAACGTCATCTTCACAACTGGTGAAATTTTTTTATCAAAATCAATGTCATTTTTCTGACCAAAGTCTTTCACCACTAATCTGGCTTTGTATTTCTAAATCTCTTTGTAGTCATCCTTCTTTAACTTAAACACCCACTTGTTCTTCAAAGCTTTTTTGTCCTTCGGCAAATCCATCAACTCATAAGTATCATTTTTCTCAAGAGACTTCATCTCTTCCTTCATAGCCTAGAACCATCTGTCTTTGTCTTTATGAGTATGTGCCTCCTGAAAGCTTTCTGACTCCCCCTCTTCTGTCAGCAAAGAATACTCCGAAAGTGGATATCTTGTGGATGATCGATGCTCTCTAGCTGTTGGTGATGGTCTCTCTGCTGAGGAGCCTCCTGCTCGTGAGCTGTTGGTGATGGTCTCTCTGCTGAGGAGCCTCCTGATCACCATCTTTCTGCTCTGGTATCTGATCGTCATCATCAACATCATCATCATGCACCTGCTCTATATATGTAGGATGTAACTGTACTGAAGACGAAACAGGTATCAAATCTGGAATCTCACTAGCAACACTTTGATTGCTCTGCTCTCCCGAGATCTGTAATAGTCTGATCCTCCTAAAAAATCACATTTGCTCATCTGATAATTCCTCTTTTCTGAATCCCGTAATTTGTAACCGAACTCATCTTCTCCATAACCAAGGAAGATGCAATTAACTGTTCCATCATCAAGCTTCTATCTCTTCTCCTTCGGAATGTGTGTAAACATCTTACAACCAAACACCTTCAGATGAGAATAGGAAACATTTTTTCGGACCCAACTCTCTATGGAATATCAAAACTCAAAGGAACTGAATGAGACCTATAGATTATGTAGCATGTAGTGCGAATAGCTTCAGCCCAGAAGCTCTTAGGTAACTTCGTCATCTTCAACATGCATCTGATTTTCTCCACAATGGTCCTGTTATACCTCTCTACAACTCCATTATGCTGCGGTGTGCCGGACTCTATCCTCTGATGCCGAATACCATGCTTGGAGCAGTAATCTCTAAACTTAATGAAAGTGTACTCTCCTCCATTGTCGGTGCGCAAACGCTTCAACTTCTTTCCTGTCTGCCTCTCCACCACGACATAAAACTGCTGAAAGACTGAAAATACATGGTCCTTTGTTCTCAATAAGAAGACACACATCTTTCGTGATGCATTATCAATAAATGTGACAAAATACTTATTGTCACTCAAGGACTCTACCTCAATAGGATCACAAACATCAGAATAAATTAAATCTAGGATATTATCTTTTCTTTTAGAGTGCTTACTAAAAGAAACTCTATGTTGTTTGCCAAACAAACAATAATCACAAGAGGTGAGTGATGAACCTTTGGCAAAGAAAATGAGAGACTTATTTGCTAATATCTACAATCCCTTCTCGCTCATGTGTCCTAGTCTCCTATGCCACAAACTGAGAATGTCACCATCTTGAGCCACACTCAAAGAATCATATGAAGTCTTTACTTAAGTATTATATAAATTGCAACATATACTTCCTCTAGCCACCACAAAAGAGCCTTTGGTGGTTTTATATTTTTCTCCACCAAATTAAATTTCATATCTCATTCGGTTCAAAGTAAGACTCGAAATCAAGTTGAGCCACAAATTGAGAACATGCCACACATTTTTTAAGATCAATGTGCATCCGGTATTTATATGCAAGTGTATATCACTAAGTCCCACAATCTTTGAGTAGCTGGTATTGCCCATCTTCACATTGCTAAAGTCACCTGCTTTATACGATGTGTGAATGTCTCGATTGAAAATAGCATGACATGTAGCTCCTGTATCCACTATCCACTCGGAATTCTGACTTGTAACATGCATACAGTCTTCTTCACTGCAAATGAGAATAACATCGGTTTTAGACAAAGTAGTTGTAGTGTCATTGTCAGTTTTTTTCTTCTCATCTTTCTTTTCATCTTTGTTCCCAGCTTGTTCTTTCTCAATGCTTGATATGATATGGCTTCGCACAATAAAAGAAACTTCTCTTTTTAGACTTAAATCTGCCCTTGGATGCGCCACGACCTTTGGACTGGTCCCTGTACCTGCTCCTTCCCTTGTTCTCCGCGACAAGTGCCTGTGAGTTATCTGTGCTGGTAGACTTCCTTCGAGTCTCCTCATTGAATAAACTACTAGTAATCATGCTCATCGATAACACACCATCTGAAGCTACGTTGTTGACTATCACAACCTGTGTCTTCCAACTGTCTGGCAAATAACCCAATAGCAATAAAGCCTGTACCTCATCATCGATAGTCATCTTCATGGTAGCTAACTGATTAATTAAATTCTTGAACTCATTCAACTGTCCTGCTATGTTGCTTCCTTCTTTAAATTTTAAGTTCACTAACCGCCTCATAATAAACGCCTTGTTTCTCGCGGTCTTCTGCTCGTAGAGATCCTCAAGCTTCTTCCAAAGAGACTTCGTATTAGTCTCACCCGATACATGATAAAACACACTAACGTCGATCCACATCCGAATATAACCGGTCGCCTTCCAGTGTTGTTTCTCCCATCCTTTATCAGTCATCTTTTCTGACCTGGCTTTATCTTCCTCAATAGTATCATGTAAATCTTTACAATACATAATATCTTACATTTTGGACTTCTATACTTGCCAATTGGAACTATCCAATTTCATTATTGTGCCATAACTCTCAATCCTTTTCATCCCAAAGCACGCCTTGAACCAGAACTCTGATACCACTTGTTAGGAATTTTAAGGAGATTAATCTGCAGGATTAAATACTAAACAAATAACGACACCAATGAAAATACCATAAGCAAACGAACACCAAGATTTAACGTGGTTCGGCAAATCGTGCCTACATCCACGGGGCAATCCAGAGAGAAATATTTTACTATGAATCAAGAGTACAATTCCTCCAAGTTACACCTTAACTTGAGGATTAAATCACAAGAGAAAAATACAGTGTTACCTTTACGGCACCAAAATCCTAAAACCCGTCTCACCAAAATTTTCTAACACCCGCGGAGAAACTAGTACCGTACAATCGACGGCGTCGTCGTTTTGAAGACAATGACTTTTGAATCACTACAATCGGACAACCGAGCTATCCGAAATCTGAACTTTTTTCTCTCTCCTTTTTTCTCATGGTACTATAGCTGATACTGTAGCACCAAAAATACTGGTTTCTCATATATAGAATTCTCCAAACCTATTCGTATTTCAAATAGATCGTCCAAATCAACTTCTAGATAGAGTTTTAATTTATGTGAACCTCATGTGGGCCTTATCTTGGGCTGGACCCATAACATACATACCCATCTGATTTGTTCCATCGAAGAGCTTGGTTCATTGCTTGTATTTTTTATCTATTCGGCTAGATCATAGAAAGGGAAAATTTGACAAAACCCCTCATGAACTTTGGGGTGTATAGCAAATTCCCCACCCAAACACTGTAATTTACAAAGCACTCTCCTGAACTAGTTTCACTTAACTACCATGACTGACGTTTAGTTTAAGCTGTCATGTGTTTCACTTTTTTCTTCCGTAAAATTTGCCCTTGTAGAAAATTAACTCCGGGTTCGAGTTTCCACTACGACTACCTAATAGGTAACCATCTTACTATTCCAGGCAAAGCCGCACAAGTTGGTGTAGGAGACGAAGGTGCAGATATAGTATTATAGGCAGCTTCATTCAAGCTCAAACAAGTGTGAACATGTCTAAGTTAAAAAAAATATAACAACCAGGCGATAATGTTAGTATAGGAGATGAAGGTGCGGATATGGACAGCTTCGTTGCAAGCTCAAACAAGTGCAAACATTTCTCGAAGTTGAAAAACAACAACCAGGCGACAATGTTATATAGAAAGCTCAGACCTATGATATGATAGATTAAATCACGGTGAAAGACAATACTTAAGGAGAGATAGATGGCATGATGAAGTAGAGAATATTTGGTTGGCTTGCTGTGGATCCTTTTTTTTATTGCCTTTGTTATCTTTTCCAATTTAATTTTGTAGTCTGTGTGGGGCCTCGTAATATTTCTCTTTTGTCTTGTCAACTTGAGAAATGTTTGAACATTAACAGAAAATTTTAGAAGGGAGCATCTCCACTCTTCCTCATTTTCTCCTTCAATTGTGCGGATATGATGTAGGTAGCTCCCTTAATTGTGTGGATATCATATGTTTGGAGCTCCCCCTTCAAATTTTTTATAAAAAAATTTCATGCACATATTCTATATATATTTTATAATTTTAAATTGAAGTTGAAATGCATTAAGCTTATGCTTCTTAGCTGCAGAGCAAACATTTCAATGTATTCTTTTTTCAGAGATTGATAAAGATAGCTTTTATGTTTGGAACTCATTTTCATAATGTGATGCTGAGTCGCTGACACTTGATTTGCTATTTAACTATTTAAGATAAGAATGTTTCGATTAGTGACCTTTGATGCTTACTGTTGGGTTGCAAAGGCCTAGTAAGGGAGATGAACTAGTTGGGTCCATTTGACTTAGAATGATTAACTCTATCTGAGTCATGAGTCCATATGTACTTAACAATATATCCATCTAACTCTTTTTCCAATGAAAGGCTAAATCTATCTCATGCTTTTTTACCCCTCAACATACTTAACCAAATGAATGCAAGGCACTCCTAATAAGCCTCAGTGTAATGGCTAGAGGATATATCATCTTAACTTAACAATTCACAAACAAACAGAGAAAAGCCAGAGATAAATGTGAAAACATGTGCACCTATAGGAGCCCTAACCAGTGTGGGACCAACTTACACACCCGACATATGTAACTTCATGTGCACTCCACGTCAAGTCCTACTTCATGCAAACAAAGTCTCCAAGTAAAAAGAAAAATATCCAAAGTCCCATTGAACCATGACCTTTGGCACCAATTTGTGAGGTTGAAACCCATTGACAGATAGACTAGACTAATCTACTTGGACTCAATTGAGCCAAAAGGATTGACACTATTTGAGTAATGTGTCTAAGTATACTTAACTGTATAATGTAAGACTAAATACCATCTCATGCTCTTTTTGCTAACCAAACCCACACAGCGAATGAATACGAGAGTCGAGATACTCCTAATACTTATAGTGAAAGATACTTATCAATTACTTGTACATGCTCTTCTACATATTTACATGCTCATAGATGTCAAGCTACCCAGTAACATTTCTAATTAGTTAAATGGCATGTTTTTTATAAGCAGGAACTTTTTATCATTTACCATATATTATTTGAGATAATTTCCAAAACTGTCTTTTGCGCATTCATTTAGCTTGTATTTTACATTGCCAATGTAAACTATGTAACGAGAAGTATGTATACCTTCTGGAGACTGGTTGGCTGATTGCATGAATAGTTTGAATTTGGATGTAACCTCACTCTCCTACATAATTGCAGATAGGCTTCTGAATAACAAAATTTCACTTCAAGGAGTCTTAAAGACGCTACAACAAAATCTTATGTGCCTTTTTGTATCAAAAAGTTGCTTTGTCCCTCTTTTTTTCTTGAAAGAAGTTACTTGATCATTCAATACTTGAATATATTATTCTGTCAAAATTATGACTCAAATTAATTTTTCCTACTATGATGTATGGGGACCAGTGCCATGAGATGTTACCTTCAATACATGTTTACCAGATATGTATCATTTGGGCACTATTGTTTCTCTTTTTTATTTAGAAAAAGGAAGAAGTAGATGTCCTGATCTTCTTGATTTTCTTAAGAGTAAGCATCCATATTGATGGATATATTTGGTACACATTCATTCCCATAAGCATGGGCCCACAGTAATCTGTCCTTCCTGTTTATTGAAATCTGACTAGTTGCTAAGAACTAAACCGTGACAACTAAAAAAATATAAAGGGGTTCTTGGATATATATCCCTTGAAGCATGCATATTTGCAAACTATCCCCAAAATCTAAAAAAATTGCAAAAACTATCTCCCAAATTATCATCTTTAGAGAGAAAAAAGAAATCCCCTAATCAACAAATCATCAGCTTTTTAGATATGGATAATAAATAAAAAAACTATTTTGTTGATATTTTTACGTTGCAGTTACAAATTAACCTATCAAAGTTGATGCTTTGTTGATTTTGGGCGTATTTGGTTTTTCCAAAGTCAATGATTTGGGAGGTAGCTTTGCAAATGCTGAGATTTGGAGAGTGGGTTTGCAAATATGCATGATTTAATGGGTGTATATTTGTATACCAAATATAAGATCGGCATCTTCTATTTTCAATTACCATTTTTTTAAAGTTAGATTGAAGTAAGTCTTGGTTCACTAGTATGTATTCCGCTTTCCTACGCTTTCCTTCACACAATGATCAAAGTCTTCAATCCAGGTATGGAAGCAGTTGGAGTTGTGACCTCTGTGGGCCCCGGTTTGACTGGCAGGGAGGTAGGAGATGTAGTCGCTTATGCGGGCAGACCGATGGGTTCCTACTCAGAGGAACAAATTCTTCCAGCTAGTGTTGTGGTGCTTGTTCCACCTTCAGTTGATTACAAGACTGCTGCATCAATCATGCTTAAGGGCATGACCGCTCATTATCTAGTACGCCGTTGCTTCAAGGTATATAGGCTTCCTAACTTTAGAGGTTGTTTATTTCCATGGAAATCTCAAGATTCCATGAAAAACTTGGGTCACAATTATGTATTTCATCTGACACAACCCTCTTCCGCATTTTGTTGAGAAAGTGTGTTGGCTATGGTGGTTGGGGTTTGCCGCCACCACTGTTTTAAAAAACCTCCACCTAGTCCGTTTAGACGTACGCCTAGGGCTAGGCGGTACCTAGGCCGCCTAACTAGCGCCTAGCGCCTAGGCGGTATTTAGGCTGCCCACCTAGATTTTACGAGTGTTTAAAGAAGCATTGTCTGCTTACGTGGATTGCACCCTATAGGACTTCATTGTGATTTTGTGTGTCGTCGCCTACACGTCCTCCAAACTCCATTAACCTATAAGTTAACAGTAATTTAAGTTTATTGTTAACTTAAACTTAACAATAACTTATAAGTTAACAGTAATTTGAGTTGAGAATGAGTTTTTCACTGTTGAGATGAACTTATAATTTGAGTTGAGAAGTATAAACATACAAAGAGCTATTATAATTGGTAAACCAAGCAATTTAGTTAACAGTGTTGATATTTTAGTATTTATGCATCTTTGATTGGGTATATATATATTATCTTCAAGTATCACAATTAAAAAAATAAAAAATAAAAAAAACTCTCAGAAACCGCTTAGGCGCCCGCCTAGGCGACTAAACGTTGGGTGCCAAGTCTGACGCCTAGAAGCGCCCAGCGTTTAATGTAACATTGGCCGCCACATCAGCAAAATCCACGTTCCATATTGCTGTCACATCAGCAAAATGCACGTTCCATATCTCCTTTTTATGAGATTTTGGGCACAAGTGTAGTGAGACCCACATTCACCTTTACATCCAACTTCCTGTTCAACCAAACCCAAAAAAATAAAAAATAAATAAAAAAGGAAAATTTTAGGTAATTTGGGATTTTGAAGGAAATTCATTTGGTTCCATTTCCAAAACTTATTTTAACATTCAAGCAGCCCCTTGAACTTCAGTCAAATCAAGACCTTGATTCGATTATCATACACACAGTCCTTCCCTTGAGTTATTCTCGACATAGTATTGATTTAAAGCTACTTTGGTTGCAGGTTGAACCTGGGCACACCATTCTAGTTCATGCTGCTGCAGGTGGTGTCGGATCGTTGCTTTGCCAGTGGGCAAATTCTCTTGGAGCCACTGTCATCGGAACTGTATCAACTGAAGAGAAAGCAGCTCAAGCAAGGGAAGATGGATGTCAACATGTCATTATCTACTCTAAGGAAGACTTTGTCACCAGGGTTAACGAGATAACCTCAGGAAAAGGAGTCAATGTCGTCTATGATTCTGTTGGAAAAGATACCTACCAGGTAAGCATACAACAACTGGCGTTGAAATAATTTTAATGTCATTTGTGTAATTCCTTATTCATAATTAGCATTTTACAATACAATTGTGGTAGATATGTTCATAGTCCATCTTGGCATATCCATGAATAGCAAAAATTTTACAGAAGCTTATATGCAAATAAATTAGACATATTTATATGTGAAGGTTATTCAAATAGTTGGTGTATTTATGGATAGGAGTGGAACTTGATCAAATCTTATGAAATAGTTTGGTCACTATTCATCTAGCTAGTTGCTCAAATTCTATTTGGTAGGCCATTAAAAGGAATCAAGTAATTTTCAGTATTAAAGTGTTAAACAAATCTAGTATGGATGTTTACACATTCATTCGATTGCTAATCAAATATTTGTTTAAAGTTTTATCCTGTATTATTTTTGCTGTTAGACACATCATGTTATGTTTTGATCCACCTTACAGTTTGTTTTTCCTTTTCTTTTTGCTACCTCGCCATGTTATGTTTTGATCCACCTTACAATTTATTAATTTAGATTGTATACTAGTTTTGAGAGAATTAAGGGTCCAACATTGATTTTTTAACCAAACATCCAATATCCCAAATTACATGAGCGCTTTGAATTATGAATTTAAATGCTGAACTTTTTAGTATAGCTATTTTGAAAGTACAAGCTTACTACTATTTGTTGGTTAATTTGTATGAAAGATGAAGGCAAAGTACCAAGTCTTTTTCCTGGCTATGATGCAAATTAAAGTCAAGACACTGCTTGAAAATAGAAGTAACCTCTAAGAAATCAATAATGTAGTTAAGCCACTGGACAAGAGAGCATTATCTCGTTAGACACTTCAACATAAAGAAATTAACAGTTTCACTTTGATTTATACAATGCAGGGATCAATATCCTGTTTGGCTCTAAGAGGATACATGGTGTGCTTCGGGCAATCATCAGGGAAACCCGATCCTATTTCTTTAGCTGATCTCGCTCCAAAATCCCTCTTCTTGACTCGCCCTTCTATGATGCATTACACTTCAAGTCGTGACGAGCTTCTAGAAGCTGCAGGTGAGGTCTTTGCTAATGTTGCATCTGGAGTTCTTCGTGTTCGTGTCAACCACACTTACCCCCTGTCTGAAGCAGCGAGAGTTCATGCTGATCTTGAAGCAAGAAAGACCTCTGGTTCCATCGTGTTGATCCCTGACAACGATCTGAGAGTCTGAGAACTTAAAACTGTGTAGTTTGTGACATGCAGTGAATAATAAGAGGTCATCATGCCCGCTTGTGTTATGATACGTAGTTTAAAGTCTGTGTCTTTGTGTAATAAGATCTTAACATGGACTTTTGGCTGATTAATTCTCCAATGTGGACTGCATTTATAGAGAAGTTCAGTTGTTTTCTGGGTTAACTACATCTACGTTACCCTGAGATGCGATGTGATTACGCGATTAATTATAGTATGTTTATAGTTACCCGTGTGATTCTGTCGTCTGTTTTCCTCCCTTTTCATTCCCGTGTAGATGCAATTAGTAGTCTTAAGGTTACTCGTGCATGCAATTAGTAGTCTTAAGGTTTTGTGGGACACTAGTAGGATAATTACCCACATAGGATAAAATTATCCCTCATATGGAAAAAAATTGCCCCCAAGCCAAAATTTACCCCAACTCTCATAATGAAACAATTTGAGATGAGTGAGATAATTTTGGAACATTTATATATTAACTGCTAATATATATCCTAATCATATTAGCTAAATATAAAATGATTATATAATTAATATCATTAAACTCATTTTTAATATAGTATATTAATTATAATGTAATATATTAAATTTGCATATTATATTATATTTATTATAATATAATATAATATGTTATATTATATTATATTAAGTATATTACTATAATATGACATATTAAATAATATATATATAATATTATAATATATTATAATGTGATAAATATAAAATGATTATATAATCAATGTCATTAAACTTAATTATATTATATTATATAA